CGGGGCCAATTTTGACCCCAGGGCTTTTATTTGTACAAACTTGGTAGACACCTATTAGAACATGTTTCATGCCAAATATCTAAGCTCTAGCTGTTTGAGTTCTTTAAAAGAAGATTTTTTAAGTTTTTACTATATGTATATAGGGAAAATCAATGACCCCCCGGGACCGGGGCCAATTTTGACCCCAGGGCTTTTATTTGAACAAACTTGGTAGACACTCCACTAGAAGAAGTTCATGCCAAAGTATCTAAGCTCTAGCTCTTTTGGTTTTTTTAAAAAGAAGATTTTAAAGTTTTTACTATATGTATATAGGGAAAATCATTGACCCCCCGGGGCGGGGCCAATTTTGACCCCAGGGCTTTTATTTGAACAAACTTGGTAGACACTTCACTAGAAGAAAGTTTCATGCCAAATATCTAAGCTCTAGCTCTTTGAGTTCTTTAAAAAGATGATTTTTTAAGTTTTTATTACTATATGCATATAGGCCGAAAATCAATGACCCCCCGGGGCGGGGCTAATTTTTGACCCCAGGGGCTTTTATTTTGAACAAACATTGAGTAGACACCCATTAGAGACATGTTTTCATGCTAAATATCTTAGCTCTAGCTCTTTTGGTTCTTTAAAAGAAGATTTCTTAAGTTTTTATTATATGCATATAGGAAAAATCAATTGACCCCCAGGGGCGGGGCCAATTTTGACCCAAGGGCTTTTATTTGAACAAACTTGGGTAGACACTCACTAGAAGAAGTTTCATGCCAAATATCTAGCTCTAGCTCTTTTGAGTTCTTTAAAAGAAGATTTTTTTAAGTTTTTACTATATGCATATAGGGAAAATCAATGACCCCCCGGGGCGGGGCTAATTTTGACTACCCAGGGCTTTTATTTAAACAAACTTGGTAGACACCTATTAAGAACATGTTTGATGCTTAAATATCTTAGCCATAGCTCTTTGAGTTCCTTTAATAGTAGATTTTTTAAGTTTTTTTACTATATGCATAAAGGGAAAATCAATGACCCCCGGGCGGGGCCAATTTTGACCCCAGGGCTTTTATTTGAACAAACTTGGTAGACACCCATTAGAACATGTTTCATGCTAAATATCTTAGCTCTAGCTCTTTTGGTTCTTTAAAAGAAGATTTTTTAAGTTTTTACTATATGTATATCGGGAAAATCAATGACCCCCGGGGCTGGGCCAATTTTGACCCCAGGGCTTTTATTTGAACACAACTTGGTAGACACTTATTAAAACATGTTTCATGCTAAATATCTTAAGCTCTAGCTCTTTTGGTTCTTTAAAAGAAGATTTTTTAAGTTTTTTACTATATTTATAGGGAAAATCAATGACCCCCCGGAGCGGGGGCCAATTTTGACCCAGGGCTTTTATTTGAACAAACTTGGTAGACACTCACTAGAAGATGTTTCATGCCAAATATCTAAGCTCTAGCTCTTATGGTTTTTAAAAGAAGAGAATATTTAAAGTTTTTTTTCTTTCGGTTGCCATGGCAACCAGAGTTCTGCATGGAATTAAATTCTTTGAACAATTTTTAAAGGTGACCACCAAAGGAACATTCCTGTGAAGTTTGGATGAAATTGGCTTAGTGGTTTATGAGGAGATGTCATTTAAAGTAAAAGTTTACGGACGGACGCCGGACGGACGCCTGACGAAAAGCGATCACAAAAGCTCACCCTGTCACTTTGTGACAGGTGAGCTAAAAAGTAAACTGTTGATATCTAAGATTTCTATAAAATTAAAAAGCTGATAAATTGCTGGTCAAATCATTGTGTCTCTTTTTGTGCACAACTATTAATCTTCTGACCTTTACTCAATTAGCAAATAACAAATAAGGATTAATTTTATAGAAAATTGGTTTGAAAACATTTGTATTTGGTTAACTGTTTTTAAAAGGTTTATGTATGTATGTGTTCCTGTACACATCACTATTCAACATTACGAGGTATGTTCAAAAAGTTCGTGCATTTTTGCTGTCATTTTCTACTTGGTTCATAAAAACACCCTTAGTGGATATGAATCGAAAGAGTGTCTTTATTTCTGTAAGTAAGGTTTACTTTTATTGTAAACTTTTGTTTCCTTTACGAGTTAGGTGCACTTTAATAACCATGGCAACGCAAACATCGGCGCATGCCGAAATTTTCTATAATGTTTAAATATAAACAAATGTTGAAAACAAAACTGAATGATTGTTTTATGAAGTAAATTACAAGATAATCATCTTATAGTATGTAAATGACATAAATCTGAAATTTGACGTCGATTGGACGTTGTATAGCTGAACAAACAGGTTTTGAGGCAGTAGTAGACAGACGGGTATGTTGGGGAGTATAAAGCCCGTTTAAAAACTAGAAATTTGCTCCTTTCGGAAATGTTTACCAATAAATGTGGGATAATCCTTCATAGTTTTATTAGGTGATTTAATTAACTAATAACAAGGGTTGGCGAGCAAGTCTCTTGGTTTCTGGGTCGCGCAAGGGATTCAAATACGGCAAATACATGCCTCACAGACAGAAAGGGCCGACGGAGAATTTTTTAGCGCAAATTGTTGGGACGTTTGTAACGTCAATTGCAAAAAGATCTACAGAAGTCTCAGACAGTATGAAAGATTTGCTAGATGTCCTACATATTTAATTTCTGCATCGGAATCTTTTGCATTCAATTCTAACAAAACAATTTAATTTAATTAAAGTAACAATGTTATTTAATTCACCAGGATATATGCGTATTTACAATAAATTATTGTGTTATTTTTTTTTTAGATTGATTTAACCCAGGTCCGTTTGATAATTAATGCTAACGGGTATTCAGTAGATTTACCGCATAAAATATTGTCAGTTTGATAAAATGTTTTTCTTTTATCATTAAAATCATTTTGTTTAAACAATCGGACGAGGGCGGTTTTCAATTGATACTATAAATCAACAAATTGAATAAACTTAATAACACTGTCCTTAAGTGTCGAAATTACTCAAAAATCCCGATAAGAGCGGAAAGTAATGCGGCACTCGGACCTTTATACTGAGAATGGAGCGAAAAAGATGAACCACTTTATATCTCGGGTCATCATCACACACAGAAAAATGGTTTTGGTAATGAATCCGCAGATACTTGAACACTAAAAGAAAGCAATATGCTGGTAAAAATGTTTCATTTATATTGCGACGTCACGAACGTCATTTTGTTTCGGTCATCAGCGGTGCGCCGGATTGTGCACCCCCTTGTGATTTATAACTGTCACAGAATTGTTATTTGTCTAAACATATTGTATTGTTTTTTCACTGTTAATAAGACATATTTTTCGTATATGTCTCTTGTTAAAATCATATACGCAAATTAAAAGATGTGAACAGTAGAGCCGCAGTCCACGAACTTTTTGAACAGCCCTCGTATATTAAAGTAGCTTTCATTTCTTCCACATCAAAACAATTGAGGGCAATATCTTTATTAGATTTACTGTCATTAGTCCAAAGTCCCAAAGTCATATGAAATGTGTACTGTGCAAAAATCTAAACTAAACTAGAAACATGTATTTCCTGTCACAGTGAAATCTTTACATACTTATGCATATTTCACAAAGGTCAAGTTTGATATTGTTTAGTATGACAGAAGAAACAAGTTACTGAACAGACACAGTTTTTACACAAAATGTTTCTGTAGCCTTAACTTAATGACCTGAAAATCGAAAGAGCTCATCTACTGGCCAATTGCAATGTCTATACTTAGTTTTAACAAATCTTAAGTTAATTTTTTCTTAGGTAAATGACTGAGGATATAACAATACTTCTCACAATGACCTTGACCTTTGACCTTCTGACCTCAAAATAAAAAGTGGTCATTTACTGGCCTTAGTTTAATGTTTTCACTTAGTTAAAAAACAACTAAGGGTTCGGAAATTTTACTTGGGGAGTGTTAACTGTGAACATTGACCTTTGACCTAAAATGACCTCCAAAGTCAAGAGGGGTATTACCTAGCCATGGGCAATTGTCCCTCAAAAGTTAGAGACTTAGGTTTATTTCTTCTCCATTATTGAGCGAAAAAAAAAGGGAAACAGGGCAAACATACAGATATAAAGACAGACCAATCTACCAATCACAGTATGCTACCAACTTTGTAAGTAGGGATATAAAGACACACAAAGAATTTTTTGATTTAATTGCTTTCCAATCTGACTTAGAAGTGCAAAGCCAAAGTATCCCGTAATAGATATTACATTGTCTGGGATTAATTCAAAGCTTAAATCTTTTCCTACCCAAAGTTGTAACCTCAGTGGGAAACGTAGATAATCATCTGCATATTTTGTTTATTAATGCAGTAAAGATGATCTTTTTCTATCTCTTGAATTCTTAAAACATATACATGTTTACTTCTTTACTTTCTATCAATAAAGCTATCTTAAACAAGCATAAAATTTACAGTGCTATATCTGCTAGGATTCAATTAATGTTTCAATGTTGAGAAAATAAATAACTCAAACTAGAGCAAACTAAAAGCTTACTCTTTAAAGTACAAGTTAAATGTGAAAATCAATAAGACCACTTTACCTTAGGGAATTGAGGCCATTTTGAAACTTAAAACTAGTCTTTATCATTGATTATTTCTAATAATCAGTGGTTTTCATTGGTCAATTTAGATGATAAAATGCTTTCACATCTCAGAAATAATAAGCCTTAACTTATTTTCCAAACAAACTATGAAGATGATGCAAAGGGTACAAAAATAACTGAATTATGTTATGTGTAAGTCATGTTTAAAATCTGAACAACAGCAAGTACAGAAAAAAATAATTGACTGTCAAAATCTAAGTTAAAACATGGAAGCTCTTTCACCCCATCACCTGATATAATTGTTAGAACTATAGACCTTAGAAAATCTGAAATACTGTAAGCCTGTAACGTAAGGACAAACTAAATATAAATATTGTCTACTAAGAAAAGTCTCTATATCCATTCAAGTGATAAGAAGAAAATACCACTGTAGCATACTTACTGACTTGTTTTGTGGTTTTCTCAAGTTCTCGCGCTGGCCCAGTGCCAACATCGTTTTTAGCAAAGAAGTTGAAAACGTAGATAGTACTAGGTTTGAGTCCTTCAACACGTAGAACAGTGTATTTTCTTGATGTATCAATGTGATCCCTGTACTCTGAAATAGAATATCATTATCATGGTTGTCACTTTTCTTCTTCAATAAACATATTGACTGATTTTTTTTTCTCCTTAGTTTATACAAATTCATTCTAGTTGGATTGTGTTGGAAGCTATAAGCTTATTGAAAACCTTCTTGAATTGGCTGGGTAGGTGTTGCATTTGGATAGAGAAGGCCTGAATTATATCACATAATCATTTCCGGCATTTAATGTTAAAAGGAAAACTACCAGTAAATTAACATTCATCAAATATACCCTTAACTGGCTGGAACTGAAAGTGATTAACCTTTACTATCAGTTTCTATATTGTTGGTGCCTTAACTTTTGTACTCCCTAAAACTTTGACTGAACTGTTCCAAGTTCTCAGGTATGCTTTTCAACTTACATAGTAAGTACTACTTTAATTACTACATTCACATCGACTTACCTTTAGCAACCGTCATTACGGTGGGTTCGTCATTAGAGCCTTTTACTTTATATGACACGGTGTAATGCGATACATCAGGTCCTTTCACTGTTGGGCCTTCCAACCAAAATTCTATAAGACTTGCATCATCGTAACGAATATCAACGGTCGGCTTCCCAGGTGACTCTGTATAAGAAATAACAGCAAATAAAATGCGATTTCCATGTAAATATTGAACACCACAAATTTACATAAACGATTCTTGTAATTACATTTGCAATAAATTTTCTTCATTTCTCCCCAAAATAAATACTATCAACATTCAGCACAATTATTTACAGCATTACTGACCTTCCATTATAGAATAATTCATGCTAACCCCCCTTTTCCATGCTTGAGCTGAATGTATGTACATGTAGTCAACAGTATAGATAGGACCAGGGTAGTAGCACACATGCCAGAACTCAGGGCAAGGTTTGAAACAAGGGGAATGTGGAGGCAAGCGATTTTAAATTCACAACAATAAGCACTTATCTAAAAATCTGGATAAAGTGTAATCCCTTAGTAGCATTAATCACAACAAATTTACATGAAACTTGCAGAATAGGTTTGATTGAATCTGTACATGAGGGATAATGAAAAAGTGCAACATCCCTCACATCCTCTAGCACAAGCTTGAGCATACTCAATTTTAAACACAAAGTGCTTATATCAATGATTCAAAAGTACCAGAAAAATGCAACAACAGTGAAGTAAAGATTTCCAAATACTTTTATAATGACGTCAATGAAATATAGACAAAGATTAATATACCTGCTTGTACCATGGACAATTTGAGATCACTTTCATTTGTATTTTGTTGCATAAGTGTTTATTCACCAATAATGCATCTTGTCTAAGTTGTGAATATGTCCCACCTGTAACCAATTAAACAGTTTAATGTAATTTATCACTTTTTCATTTATTTTATAGAGTAATATTAATGGTGTTTCAAAAACTGAACCTTTTCCTTTCCTAAATTGGGACGGGGATTGCCATCTTTAAATTGGGGATTAACCATTCACTTTTTTAAAAATTTCAAAATATGCGGGCTGCTTTTGGGGAAATATAAAATTTCCCCCCAAATTTAAAAATTTTCCCCCTTTATTTCCTGAAGGAAAAGTCATTTCTCCCAAAAATTTTTGTCCAGTTCCCTGATATGTACGCAAATTGAAACCCATGATCAGACGAAAAAGGGGTTTTTGACTGATCTTGTCCCCACTCGACATGATTAAAATTGGGGCTACAAAGCAAAGGGGATTTATGATACATTTTTAGAAGAAAAATTCCAATAGTAATACAAGTTACATTTTTTTAAACTCAAACTTGAGACTTGTAATGCATCCTTAATTTTATATAAAAGATCATTACACTCTAATAGCTAAAAAAAAATTGCTTCTTTGGAAGACCTCAAATTCACTCAATGACTGATACTCAAATACAAATTAAAACTGACATCTTGTGCAATACTATGGTAATACTATGCTAGTACTGTAATGCCCTTCATTTATCTAACTAACCTTCAATTTACTGACTGCTCTATGTGGGTTTTCTGGGTCTACTTCAGGTGACATGATTTCATAATATGGGTCAGTTGACCGGATTTCCTGATCACCTTTCTTCCATCTGAATGATGGAACTGGGTTACCATTTGATGTACAGATTATATAGGGGCTATCATTGTTCTCCCAGTTGTAGAATGTTGTTGGTCCCTGATCATTAAAGTTTGGCTTATCTACAATCGAAGACAATCTATATTGTAGGGCAATATTTCCATGTGAGCTATAAAAGGAATCAAAATATTGAGGCAGTCCACAATAATCATGTTTAAGATATTACCACGAAGCTAGAACATAAGCTACCTCAACAAATTTTCAATATACAGTCTAACCAGTACTAAAATACCACTTGTGAACAAGTCTTTTAAAGACAATGCATTTATTTCCAATTCAACTATTTATTACAAATGAAGACAAATATAATTTTCTTATTATCATACCAGTGCATTGCATAATTAATATACATTGCAACCTATCCTGGGCAGCCCTCCTCAGTGCAATTACCTCTTTACATGAAGAGAAATTTTACCTCCCTAAAGCTACACACAGAAATAATATTTGTTTACAAAGGGAGTTGCTCTGCCAAGGTTGTGCTGTATATCTTATAATACAGGCTATCAATAAACAAGATTGTATAGCACTTTAGACACCTAATACTTACATTCTACTTCGAGGTTAACAATCTTAGAGGCTGTAGCTGCCTTGTTGACTGCTTCACACTTGTACTCTCCAGCATCTGAATGTTGAAGTGAGGTAAACGACAGTGTCAGGGTGGCTCCAAGGTTACCAGGGGTGTTATCTTCCACTTGTTTCACAGTTTTACCCTAAATATAAATACAGTAACATCACAAATCATCTGTATCTATTTGTACACAAAGTCAATGACTAAAGTTATGCCTCACTGTCAAACAAAGGTAAAGACTTAAAGGAACTGTACTGAAGTTCAAAAGCCTACAAACCTAGTATTTGAATTTCTTAAAGAGATCGGCTGGGGCACTTTAAAACAGAAAGAAATGCAAAACTATTTTCTCACATGTAGAAACCGACAACGATTGCATGGGTCGAACCTACAGCCTTGAGAAGCTCTTACATGTATTACACTAAGTTGTAAGTCTTAGTGTGAATCGAATGTAGATATTTCGATTTCAAAGCTTCTCTAACTTACATCATCTGTTGTTCCAGGTGAAAACCGATCACCAGTTTTTTCTTTAATCCAGATCATTTGTGGGATAGGATCACCTCGAGCTGTACAAACAAGATTAGCTGGACCATTTTCTTTACCTTTGCCATCATCTGCTTTCTCAATTGTTGGTGGAACTAGAATTGAAAGTAAAAAAACTTGAGTCACTAAGCATTTATGAATTATTTAGAATGAGAGTTTTTAATGAAAACAACACTGTAATGTGACGTTCTGCATGATCTTTGAAGATCATAATTATATCTGTTCCTAAAATTGGGAATTGTGTGAACTCACTAAGTCTTAGAAAGTGAACCTTCTGTTTGAGGGTTTAAGTCCTGCTAAGATGTCAACCATGTTATACACATAACAAGGGTACTGCTTAATTTCAGACAGCCAACATCAAAATAGTATATTACCCTTCCAGATTTTTTCCGCCTTTTTGATTGGATATTGATCACCCGAAAGAAATTGATATTACCGAGCCAGACGGGTAATATACACATTAAATTTCCCCGATGGGTACCCCACGTTGTAAACAACATGCGCCGTGCGATGCGCGTACGGTTTGATTTTACGTGAGATAAATTCCGATTTACAAGCACTTTTAAACTGTCAAATGATAAATATTTACCAAAATAGAGTAATGATACATATTCTCGTCAGTATAGAAAACAAATTTGACCTTGTGAAAGCTTGATATTAATTTCAAAAAAGTGCGTTCAACAGACTACTCCTTTTCTCTTGTTTACATCGGTTATGTTCGAAAGATAATATGTCATGTATTTATGTGACGTCATGTTATGGTGAAGGGGTATCCTAAAGGGAATCTTATTTCGACGTTTCATTTGAATTAGCAATGATTTATTTTAAAATCGTCTTAACTCGGCATGGGAAGGGTAATAAAATTATTATTTTGGTTTTGGAGTGATATATGTGGATATATTACCTGCCAAGATAAAATATCACCCGAGCCGTTAGGCTCGGGTGATATAAAATCTTGACAGGTAATATATCCACATATATCACTCCAAAACCCAAATAACATATAATATTAAACACTTACTTTACAATCAAGCTTAAATGAATATTTAAATTAAATTAACTACACTTGGATAGCTTGCACACATGGAATGAGTCAATGTCTCAGCCATGGCCGTGAACAAAACATTTTAAACTCCATTAAATTTCTAGCTTCAATGGAATTTTCATTGGTAACTTTCAAGGCCAAACCATACTAGTCAATTTTAGTTCAGCACTAATGAAATATATTTCATAATCTTAACAAAGGATGTTCTATAAAATTTAGCAACACTAATATATGTGTTTCCCAACCCATTCCAGCACAGATCATATACAGAAAAATAATTTTACTGCATTTCTATAAACTATTGTGTAGTATTTAGAGATTTTTTTTAAGTAACAGCTTGCCAATTTGTATCTGAAATACTGAATATGGAAATATGAAAACCAGGAATGAAAATAAAAATTGAAGTTTGACTTACTTCGTACAGTAAGTTGGGCCGATTTTTCATCAACAACGACCAGATTCTCGTCTGAGGCTTCATTTTTGGCGGTACATGTATACAGAGCTTCGTCGTCTTTGATCACGGATGTGATGTTAAGAATTCCCTGAACGTCAGCGCCTTCCTTGTTTGTACTCACTCTGAGACGATCTGTTGTTGTCAAAATATTTGTTGACTGAAAAAGAGAAAGTATGACTTTTAAAATGATATTTATTGTATTTATAGATTTTTGGCAATGAATTTTTAAGTGTATGTAATAATCAATGTATCAATGTTTCTGTTATATTGGAATACCGTTTTGTTTCATACTGTCTAACACATTGCCTGTTGGCACAACTGAATTTACCCAGGGTCTGGCAAAAGCAGTTTAATCATGGTCTACACTGTTCTCTATTCAGTTGGTACATATTTTGAAAATTTTCCTAAAAATGATGAATGGTTTTATCCATATTGAAAGATGGACAAGTCCATTTAAGATATTAAGGGTGATCTGGATTATTAGGCATTCAACTTTAATATCACTCCCCAATTTGTGTAATGAGCTTGTCATGCTTTAAAATTAAAACAATCCATTATTATTTTCAGGGGTTTCAACATCAAAATAAACTTAAAAGTATGAAGTCTGATCAGACTGCATTGACAGACACCTGCCAGTTTTAACCCTAACCATCCTAAATATCAAAAATGGACTTGTCCATCTTTAAAACTGGACAAAACCATTCATCATTTTTAATGAAATTTTCAAAATAAATTCTAACTGAATAGCAAACAGTGCAGACCACAATCATGCAGCACATATGTGCCATCTGATCCTGGTCTCCACTAGTCCAATGTGTATGGCTGACTAAGTGTTAATAGTTATGGAAGACCTAAGCTGCTTTTCTGCATACTATTTCAGGCAGTCACAAAATTAATGAGCCTGCAAGTAGTGCCACAAATCTTTATTTGTCTAATAACGAAATAAAGATGAATGGCTGGCACAATTCAAATCCACCTAATGATGGACAATGTATCCATTCAATTCATCTCAATGGCAAAGTGCCACTAATTTTATACCAGTATTTAACCATTGTATTTCACATAGTTACAACAATACATTTCAGCTCAACTGATTAAAGAACCAGGGGAGGGGAGGAAAAACCATTTTCACTGCATGTCATGTTCTAACATTCTGTTCTGACTGCATAAAACAGCAGCAATGAATTGCTGTCAATTAAGCTGGCAAGGGAGTTCAAAAAAAGAACAGGATAATCAATACTTGTTGAGTAATAGCTGTTTGCGACCTTGCACGTCTCTAATTCCAGTAATTCAGAGTAATCTGATACTAAAGTGCAGCAGCAACATTATATACATGAAAACAGAACTATCTTAGGATTCTGGGTTTGTTTTTTTTCCTATTCTAGGGGATGGAGGTCGGCAGTGTCTATATTTTACAATCATGTGTAATATATTACACAAAAGTAGTTATTTTTTTATATACTGACAACATCTAAGCCTTAATATTAACTGTCTTAAAAATTTCTAAATGGTTAAAAAAATAAATAATTAACTAACACAACTTGCTGGTGATTTATGTTTTTTTTTTTCATTCATATTTTGTGGTTGTTTTTTTGTCATTGTTTAAATATTGTTGTAATTTTCATAAAGGTTTTTAAGAAATATTAAAAGAAATTCAAATCAATTATGAACTGGCATTACATAGGCGGCATAAAACATAATACATTTTTTATTTATTTCAATTAATACAATCAAATTTAACATATTTAAGGCAGAAACAAAAGATTGCTATTTGTTATTTTGACATTCATGTAAAGCACTGTAATTAATTTACTTTAATATTTTTATATAGGCTTTTAAAACCTCTTAATATATATTAATTTTTTTTATTGTTTCACCATCAAGCATTCACATTTTTCTTATGGTTACCCCACCAAAAATTTCTACTTTTTCTTACTGTTACCCCACTGGCACCATCATTTTCCAATTTTCTTAATATTGTCCCATGAAATATTTCCCAATTTTAAAAGGATGGGTAGTTCGTGATTATGTTTAAATCATTGATATGTTTGGGTTTGTGCAAGAGTATGTACATAAAAAAAAGTAAAAAAAAAAAATATAAAAAAAATAAAAAAACAAAGACCTAATAAATTATTCATACAACTATCTAAAATATTAACTACATATAAAGCTATCGGACAGAGTGGGTAAAAAAACGCACACATCATAATTTTTCTATAAATCATCTAAATGCCATACAGTCTAGACCATGGACAATTAATAATTTATTGATCAACCTCTACAGCTTCTAGAATCCGCCAGACCTTATCCTATATAATCAATAGCACACAGCTCAGAGCCACCATACAATTTATGTTGTAAGAGGTCATACCTACTCGTATGTAATATCAGCTTTTAAATATTGAACAGATCCATGTCCAGGGTTCAACAAATAACTTAAATGTTCTAGTGAATCATTTCATTCCTGAAATTGTGTAATTGATTTCCCCAGCTTCTAATTTTTTGTAACCCATTCCCTCACATACATATTTGATTATTGCACTGTATACTCTATTGTTAAGTGATTTCAATTAAAGAATACAAAAATTTAGTTACCAACAGTATAGAGCCTGGTCAGACTGCACTGATGTGCAGGCTGGCCTGGCTCTATACTGGTGGCCAAGACTTAACTTGTTTTGGTTCCAGCAGATTAAGTGTTGATATCAAAGGTTCAACAAATAATTCACTGTTACCATTAAGATGGGTTTAAAAAAAGGAAATAAAGACTGTCTTGAAAAAATCACTAAAAATGACAAATGAAACAGTCCCGTTTTCAAGCATCTGCATTAAAGGGTATAAATCCATATCTTATGAAATATTTTTATAAAAGAATTATATTGCTTTCATTATTACATTATTGATTCTGGAAAAAATTGTAACATGTTTAGAATGTCTCTGTTATTTAACCACATGAATAATGTATGTAAACAGAATAAATTGTTTCGGAACAAAATATCAAAATATTATTTTGCTATTTTAAATAGGGTTTTATCCATTTAGCAATGATTTTGTGCATGCGCCATACGCTTTTAAGGCAATTAACTACCATTTTTTCTTCGTATAAGCATTTTGAAAGTATTCATTTTTAAATTTCAAACAACAAGTTTTACAGTAGATATATAGCTTTAAACACTTTATGCATAACCTAGTATCATATATTCATCTGATTGTAGCTACTGATTCAGTTCGCATCTCAAAAGAATTATTCATAAGAAAGTAGTCTAGTGTTTAAACCAGAACATGGTGTCAGTGAACAACATTCAAAAAGTCTGAATTAGAAATGTAAATATAATATTTTAAGAATAACGTCAATATTTACCCCTTCTTTTCTCCATTCGATCACTGGATCAGGGATTCCCTTTGCTTTACAGAACAGTGTGGCTGGCTGACCAACAATAGATTCTGTTTGTGTTACTGGCTCTACTATCTTTGGTGCACCTGAAAAACAACAACAAATATGTCATGTTCTAATCATAACCATTTCTTTAAATTTTGTATATCTACCTAAATTGTTGTGTATTTATTTTTATTTTTATTTTTTTTTAATTTGTTTTCTTTTTATTTGTACTTGTACTAATCTTTAGACATAATTGTTTTTATAGCAATAATGTTAAACTTTAAACCATTTACAAACCAACCATACAGAAATCTTATCTTAAAAATATGTATAAAATAAGTCAAATAAATAAAATAATTAAACTGAACAGTTTAGTTCAAACACAGTTTAAACATGTTTATTAGAGCTCCATTGCTTAACATGTTCTTGCAACTTATATCTATCACTTTTGAGTCCGCTTCTTGGAACCAAAGAGTATGGTCATGCCCCATATAGGGCTCAAACCCGTGATCCCTGGGTTGAAAGGCAGACATGTAATAAACAGACAAGCTACACTTACTGTAGACAACAAAGTCAATTCTCTTTTCACCACTTTGGCCGTCACTGTTGGAAATAGCATTATAGATATATTTTCCTTCATCTAACATGGAAGTATCTTTTATTTTCAAAGAATTGCTGCTTTGCTGAATATCTGAAAAAGAAGGAAATGCAGATCATCAGTTTTTAGATAATTGTCAATATATATTTCAATGTATTTTAATTGAAATGTTTTAAGTATCAAAGGTACTGTCTACTATCTGATCATTTACAGTTGATCTGGCTCACAATACCTCAATGCATTTAAAGTCAAACCTCTTAATAAAGACCACACTGTAAATGACGATCATATTAATTTTCAACAACCATTCATTGATTTACTAGAACAGAGTAACCTCCCTATAAAGACCACTTGTTAATAAAGTCCATATTTGGTCTCTCCTTTAGGTGACCTTTGTGCACAGACTTGACTGTATTTACTTTTTTTTTCTTCAATGATAATTCAAAGTGCCAAAAACACCAAAACTTGCCAATTATATATTCATACTGTCACAATAAGGCAATAAATGAATCTATATTCAAATGTTTTAATTAAGGTTTTTCCCTTTGTGTTCTATAAGATTGTTTCCTGTGTCCAAAAGGTTCTGTCATTATCTACACACAAGTTTTGTTTAATGAATCAAATTACTGGCTAGCATTATTCAAAAAATAATGACAAAAGTGTGTCAAGAGACTGTGTAAAGTGAATGTAGGGATGTCAATTAAGTGTTGAAAATTTTTTTTATAGGAAGTAGAGTTTTTTATAGGAAGGACATGTATCAATAAAATGACAATTATTGCGAAGTATGATTAACCATAGAATTTACATACTATTCTTATAAGTGCTTATGCCATTGTCAGAAATGTATTTAATTTATGTTTGAATCTATATTTTCCAAGTAACATATTTAGTGAACAGCTGTCAATTTTGCACTTAAACATTAGACTTACTCTATAATTAAGAATATCTTGGGTTTCTCCCAGCTTATACGTATAAACAAACTTTTGCTGTTATAGCTTCAAAAATATACGCAACAGATTAACTAATCTATTGTGACAGGTAGTGCACCATGAAGCTATAAAGGTAAAAGTTTGTTTGTACCTACGGATTAGCTGGGGAAAAACCAACATTTGCCGATTTTTGGGATAATATTTATTGTTGCGACATGCAGTTATTATTGTTGATTGGTACTCACTGTCCCCTGATAAACCAGATCCTTCCTTCTCCCAGAACGTTACAACGGTTAACTGACCTCCGTATGCTGAACATTTTATTTCAGATGGCTGACCAAGTATGCCAATTTGCTTCAGTGGACAGTCTCTAAACTTTAATGCCTCTGTAAAAAATGATTTGGTATGCAATTTATCAATTATAATTAATATATACTAAACACTAACATGATACATTAAAACATTGTTTTTTTTGTCAATAATGTCAAGAGTATAAATATCAAGATTTCTGAGGTTTCTAAAGATTAAATATTTGAAGTCATTTTTAGCTCCTATGACTCAATTATGCCAACAGATTCAAACAATTTTTAAGTAACTTTTGTAGAGAGCAACCTTAGAATCATTTTTTGGTTGATACATAATTTATTTTTTTTGTTTGATTATATAGGAAGCTATAAGCTTATAGTCTGTTCCTGAAAACAAACCAGTACAATGAGTGTAAAGTTTCTTGCTCAAGGAAACAATGACTTGGCCCTGACGGGATTGAACCCATGCAACTATCTATCATTAGATTACTAATCTGAATTTTTCTGAAGTTTAATCAAAATCTACCATCAGGTTAAGATGCTGTTTTAGGCATGTTTGAGCTATAAAACAAAAGCTGCCCCAGCACCATTTGACTGCTTTTTTATGGCAGTTGGGGCTTTGAGAGAAAAGTGAATGTCACTGGTGGGTGGGGGAAAGATAAGTTCTTACCTTTTACAACAACATGGAAAGTCTTTTCGATTGGTACTTCATTTACAACCGCTTTACATTTGTACTTCCCTGAATTTTCTGATGAGGCATCTCCGAGTTTCAAAAGCAGTTGCTGATCCAATAAGCTTTTAATATACGGTTTATTCCTGTAGAAGCAAAAATAAATAATGGTTATCTATCATGATCATATTATATATGAGCCGCGTCACGACAAAACCAACAAAATGGGTTTGCGACCAGCATGGATCCAGACCAGCCTGCGCGTCCGCGCAGTCTGATCAGGATCCATTCTGTTCGCTTACCAAGTCTATAACAAGTAGAGAAACGGATAGCGAACAGCATGGATCCTGATCAGACTGCGGGGATGCGCAGGCTGGTCTGGATCCATGCTGGTCGCAAACCCATTATGTTGGTTTTGTCGTGACACGGCTCATATATTGTATATTATATTGTATCATATTAAGTCAACATCTAAAATTCCCATTAATCTTGATTATGGTAACTCTCTGCTTTCTAATGGAGTGAAATATTGCCAAATATTGTCCAAATTTTATACTTCAAGCAAATTGAACAAGCACTGTAACCTTTAACAATTAGTAAAAAGCATAGCATGGTATAAAACTGTTCTTTACTTTAATATCACATGTTTACTTTGTAAATGGCCCAATGAAATTGTTTATGCTGATGTTGCTTACAAATCTGAAACTATCAGAATATTTTTCAAACTGGCTTTTTCGCATTTCTTACATGCAAAATTTGCATAATGTTTTTCCCCAGCTATTAACTCTATACCATCAATTGGTAAGTTATGAATTGTAATATCAACATACTAGCCAGATTGACTCTAGGCAAGTCATTATTCCCTCTGTAATTAATTTACACAATTTTTGCATTATTAATACATTATTAAATAATGAACTTACACTGAATTGGTGTTGGTTATTAACACATCTTTGTTGTCATACCACTGGAGATTGGCATTGTCCACACTTTCCGACAAGGAACACATCACAGACACATCGTCACCCTCCAAATATTCTTTAGGATTCTCCTTGACATTGAATTGTATCTCAACAGCTGAAAGAAGGACAGATATAACATTATTATTATATTATATATATATATTATATATATATGTCATTTATTGATATGTATAACCATATTTCATAATGATCATGCAAGTTGGTTTAAACATATTTATTTAAGCATGATTGCTAAACAAGTACTTGCAACTTATATTAATCACTTTCGAGTCCGCTTCCTTGAACCAACCAGTACTGGTGTCATATGAAGAAACATGACTGTGACACGATTCAGGCTCGAACCCATGATCCCTCTGATGAGAGGCAGACACCTTAAACACTTGGCCACCGCTCCCTTTAATATCATGCATGTTTATATCAAGGTATATGAAGATAAGCTGTAAATATGCTTTATTCATAATAAAAATTATTACTACATGTTCTTTCCTATTCAGTTTGGTTCAATAAAACTGGTCAAGACTCGACTGTTTAGTAATCTAGACATACATGCAGAATTGACAGAGAAGCCTATAGACTTAGAAATGCTATGGTAATACGGCTTTAGCTATAATACTAATATATGAGATGTTCAATGTAAAAAATATTTGCAGCAATTAAATCAACACAAGAAAACAACCCTGTATTTTTTTCACACCTGAGGTCTGAACAGCAAATGCCATTTCTATCAGGCTAATTTATGTGAGCAAAAGGTGACAAGATTTAATTTACCACCATCAGCTTGCTTGTAATATAATCAATATAAGTCCCTGACAGATCATAAGCAGTCACTGTTAGGACCTTTCATCCATAACAGAATATTTTTTGTGTGAAGCAGTAAGCAATAATAAGCATTATGAATTATAAATATAGACAATCATTAAAGCAGATGAAAAACATGTTTTAAATTACTGTACTCAATAAAAGATAGGGAGAGATATTAAAGTGATTAATACACTATAGTCAGATACATGTACATTTCTAATTAAGAAAACTCTTTCAAACAGGAGATATCAAGAGATCATCACCAATATTGTTGGGTAAACTAACACCTGACACTGACAGCGGGGAGAATGGTCACATGTCTTAAAACATGACTTGAAACATCATTTAATGACATGTAACATTTGTCCAAGCAGACAAAGTGTTGACCAAACCAATTTTTAGGCTTGCGGAAACCACAATATATCATGATATTTTGTTGTTTTTGTTGTTGTTGTTGTTTTTTGGGTTTTTTAGAAACAGCAACAAAACAAACAACAAAAGCAATTCATCTAAAGAACGATACATTGTCTTCATTGAAAGTAAAAAAACAACAATATGCTGTAAACGGATTCCATGGCAACAGTTTTTACAAAATTTATCATAATTGACAAAAGTAACAACAATACACTGTTGTTTAAACCTGAACAATCACAACAAAACAGGTTCTAGACAAACAACAGATTACAGTCATAAAATACAAGCATTTATACTGATCATATTCTAAATCTTATTTTTAGCTTTCTTGGCAGGTAAACATTATAATATACAGCATTCAATTAAGAAAGGAAAAGTTATGTTTCATGCCTAGGAATACAATATATTGCTTACAGATAAGCTTTTCTATTTCTCTGGGATTTTTTTGGGGGGGAAATATCAAAACTATTCATCAAATCACTATTGATTTGTTTATCTAACAAAGGCTAAACTTGTTTATATAGGAGGCTGCTGATTGCTTGCTGATTGCTTGCTTTATCACTCCAGTTATTATGTTTATCAAGAATACCATTAATTTGTGTGGTGGGAGAAAAATTTTAGCACTTGAAGAGACAGGGGAAATAGATAGGCAATGTGTGCTATTAACAAAAAGGCAGAAATGTTGAGAAAACCTGTACAAAACACAGAAAACCTGTAGAAACTGACTTGCAGACTTTCAAAACTATGTACAGTTCAGTACTTCAGCAGTTTGCCTTTGGCAGTATTAATTAACAAATACACAGTTGCAGATTCATTCCAAGAATAGTGTTGGAAATTTAATGAGTTAATAACATTATAATTATTCTAGAATATTTTGTTTTGTATTTGTTTTGGGTTTTTTTCTCAGCAGTCAATTCACACAACAGACTTTCCTGGATAAGTAACCAGTAATTACCAATTTCCCTGCAAGTGACCAACTAGAAGTACAGATATTTCCAGATTTTTACAATATTTACTGCCCTTCCCAAAAGTGACATACTTTTTGGGGGTCAATATTCACTAGAAATGTAATTAACAAAATATATATAATTATATGAAAAATCAATATAAACTGCACTTGCTTTAGGTCAATTGTCAAATTTATTTAAACATATAAATATATATATGAAAATATTATTATAGCATCATTAATATGTAAAAGATATTTATCACAGAATTTTTATCATAGAAAATATAATCTTGACATTTTTAACTTTTCTTAAGCATATATAATATACTGGGAATGACCCTCAAAATGGCGGGCAGGGGGGTGCATATTCAAATAACTTTAAAATGATATTCTGAATTTCACAGATTTCTTTCATAATATCTTTGGAGTAACAATATAAGAATGATAGTTCTAAGCAAAAAATCATCAATGAATTAAAAATGAATCATTATTTAAACCATGAATGTGTCGATGACTAAGATGGAAATTTCTGACAAAAATACAGTTTCTAAGATTTTATGTTGAATCATCTACTTTCACCGAGCTGTCTGCAATAAAGTAGCGAACAGAATCGGTGTAAATCAATTTCTATTTCCAAATGCAAACATTATAGATTTGCAAGAAAGATAGACAAAGCCCTACAATGCAGATGAAACATGTAGAAAAATCAATGTAAGCAGACGCAATTCATTGAACTTCTCCGGGGTAATATTTCTATTGCTTTCCCCCAAGAATATAAACCTAATTATTGCACATCCATGAAAAGGTCAATGCCGTGACAAATTACCCCACATATTTATCAATAATTGGAAGTCATTAACTAATTACTTACAACAAAATGTCAAATGGCCAGTGACACCAGTCCTGACTGTGCATTATTTAGCAAAGAGAATATCATGTGACCAGCTCTAAACACCTATACTGAACCCGAGAATCCCTGGATGACCCAGGTGCTTCAATCTCAATGTGTCAAATGGAAAGGGAATATCTTGGGGGAATGGTGTCATATGTGGGGTTTTGACAGTGGCGTCTGGGAAAATTTTCAGGAAAATGTTTTCCAAAATCAAATCATAATACTATCTCTTACTTGTTAAAAATGTTAAAAATTGAAATCTGACTTGCTTTTGAGTGTGGCAAAATGCCAATTTAGTAACTGACACTCTAAAATCTAAGAAAACTTGACATCAACTTACAATAAAGAAAATTTCTTTTATGGCGACATTTAACATGGGTCACATTATGTTCAACATGGGTAAAAAAATATACCATTATACAAACTTATAACATTATGAATGATTATTTCAGTACTTGTATCTGCATTAAAAAGTATGAGCAACACTTACACCCCTGAACACACAGTTCATGGATCAAATCACTTTTTGCTCTTAAGTACTTACTAATTCTTATAATTGAAAATAAAACAATGTCAAAGCCAAATTCCCATATGTATACAATGATATAAACTTATTTACTTATCTCCATAAAAAAATCATTAAATATCAGTATATTATCTACCATATCATATATTCCCTGCAAAGAAAATAAGATCAAAATTTACCGCACTTGCCCACAAGAGACTAGAAATCTGACAATACATTTTGCTGGGAAGTGGAAACTCAGTTTCACGCAGCTATTCTTGCCTATAAAACTATATAAAACTAACTGATTATCGATTATGTTACAGAGTCATTACCAAGGCTTGTTTTTTTTTTGTTTTGTGTTGCTGCAACCACTAGATGCAAATTCTCTTGAGCCCTCTGCCATGAAATTGTTGATCATTATTTTGCAAATAATTACGACAGAGTCGGTTATTTTTACTCTATTTGCTTTTTATAGCCGTAAGTGTATTATATATCATCTGGTTTTGAAAGCTAATTTCTCCAAGAATGTCTCCAAAACTCCCACGTTATTTTACTGAGTTTATCAATTTTCATGTGACAGTTACTTTAATATCTCATATTATTATTAAAAGTCTTATAAATTCCATGATTTATTACTAAAGTAACATTTTCCAACTTTGGTATAAGGAAAACTTTACATGGAATGTCACATTGAAGGTTCCATGATAACTGCCAATATGAACACATCTGCAGGATGTTTCTAAATTCTAAATTTTACCAATGTTAAATGTTAAATTCTGATAAAGCCGGTGCTTAGGAGGGCGTGGACTGTAACTTGCAATTTCCATTACCGTCCATGAACAGGCTTCATCAAACCGAGCCTGCACCATTTTCAATTTTGTTGTTTTGTGTGTTCTTTAGGGATTCTATTACTCACTATTTTAAAAGCCCGATTACATTCTACACCTAAGAATTATCAATTAAAGTTTTACTCAATTGTAGGTACACTTAAAGTATCACTTTCCAATTTGGTAAACTCCAAAAACAAGTATGTAAAAAAACTATGCCAATATTCATTCTTAACTAAACATTTTCAACTTTGTTGTTTTGGGCGTTCTATAAGGATTCTAATTTTCTCTATTTAATTCAGATGGCTAAATCATTGAAAGCACTTATCACTCATTACAACCAAGTTTCTTAAAAATCTATTTGAACATCATAAAGTCCAGTCAGTCTGGAACCAGCCTTTTTACCATTTAGCAAACAACACAGTCATCTTAGCATTATTGTATCTATAAATTAATGGTTTTTTAAATGAAATAAAGAATCTGAAATACTTCACTTTTCCTAGTATGTCTAGATAAGTTAAAAGTCATTCTGGAAGGAAGCCAACCTCCATGTTAGAACCCACTATAAGGTAACTGTTTTGAAAATCACAATATCATTTCACGTACATCAATTATATAGAGAAATATGAATAATATAACACAGGAAAGTTCCTAGACACTTTAAGCTTTTATATCTTATCAATATCACGAAAAGCTTCAAGAC